GCTATCTACACATACATACAGTGGGGAGAACAAGTATTTGATACACTGCCAATTCTGCAGGTTTTCCTACTTACAAAGCATGTAGAGGTCTGTAATTTTTTTAATAGGTACACTTCAACTGTGAGAAACGGAATCTAAAACAAAAATCCAGAAAATCACATTGTATGATTTTTAAGTAATACATTTGCATTTTATTGCATGACACAAGTATTTGATACATCAGAAAAGCAGAACTTAATATTTGGTACAGAAACCTTTGTTTGCAATTACAGAGATGATATGTTTCCTGTAGGTCTTGACCAGGTTTGCACACACTACAGCAGGGATTTTGGCCCACTCCTCCATACAGACTTTCTCCAGATCCTTCAGGTTTCGGGGCTGTCGCTGGGCAATACGGACTTTCTGCTCCCTCCAAAGATGTTCTATTGGGTTCAGGTCTGGAGACTGGCTAGGCCTCTCCAGGACCTTGAGATGCTTCTTACGGAGCCACTCCTTAGTTGCCCTGGCTGTGTGTTTCGGGTCGTTGTCATGCTGGAAGACCCAGCCACGATCAATCTTCAATGCTCTTACTGAGGGAAGGAGGTTGTTGGCCAAGATCTCGCGATACATGGCCCCATCCATCCTCCCCTCAATACGGTGCAGTCGTCCTGTCCCCTTTGCAGAAAAGCATCCCCAAAGAATGATGTTTCCACCTCCATGCTTCACGGTTGGGATGGTGTTCTTGGGGTTGTACTCATCCTTCTTCTTCCTCCAAACCCGGCGAGTGGAGTTTAGACCAAAAAGCTCTATTTTTGTCTCATCAGACCACATGACCTTCTCCCATTCCTCCTCTGGATCATCCAGATGGTCATTGGCAAACTTCAGACGGGCCTGGACATGCGCTGGCTTGAGCAGGGGGAACTTGCGTGCGCTGCAGGATTTTAATCCATGACGGTGTAGTGTGTTACTAATGGTTTTCTTTGAGACTGTGGTCCCAGCTCTCTTCAGGTCATTGACCAGGTCCTGCCGTGTAGTTCTGGGCTGATCCCTCACCTTCCTCATGATCATTGATACCCCACGAGGTGAGATCTTGCATGGAGCCCCAGACCGAGGGTGATTGACCGTCATCTTGAACTTCTTCCATTTTCTAATAATTGCGCCAACAGTTGTTGCCTTCTCACCAAGCTGCTTGCCTATTGTCCTGTAGCCCCTCCCAGCCTTGTGCAGGTCTACAATTTTATCCCTGATGTCCTTACACAGCTCTCTGGTCTTGGCCATTGTGGAGAGGTTGGAGTCTGTTTGATTGAGTGTGTGGACAGGTGTCTTTTATACAGGTAACGAGTTCAAACAGGTGCAGTTAATACAGGTAATGAGTGGAGAACAGGAGGGCTTCTTAAAGAAAAACTAACAGGTCTGTGAGAGCCGGAATTCTTACTGGTTGGTAGGTGATCAAATACTTATGTCATGCAATAAAATGCAAATGAATTACTTAAAAATCATACAATGTGATTTTCTGGATTTTTGTTTTAGATTCCGTCTCTCACAGTTGAAGTGTACCTATGATAAAAATTACAGACCTCTACATGCTTTGCAAGTAGGAAAACCTGCAAAATCGGCAGTGTATCAAATACTTGTTCTCCCCACTGTACGTAAGTACATACGTACATACATTGATATATATATAAAATAATTTTAAACTGGAAGAACTTGTCCCGATTGGTGTTTTTAAATCTCTGATGAAGGATTTTGAGGCTGATTCCCTGACCTGTCAATGTTTTTAATTTGCTGTTTTTGATATTGTTATACTCTTGTGAATTCATGAATGGTTTTTTACTAGATTACTTGTAGTTTTTCATGTTGTCTGTCTGTAATTTTTTGTAATGACTTGGTGCTGCCTATCTTGGCCAGGACGCTCTTGAAAAATACATTTTAAATCTCAATGAGCCCTTCCTGGTTAAATAAAGGTTAAATAAAATAAAAATATATAGTACTGAGATTTCAGCACATGCTAGATTTTAGTCTAGTATGGAAGAAATCCCCTCCACGCTCTCACGAGGCAGTGCCAAGATAAATGGCCTGGCCCACCCTTAAAGTCTCATCACACACAGACAGACCGAGAGAAAGGGTGGTCTGGGGCTGTGGACTTCCTGCCTGTAGCTATGTGCTCTGGTAGATTCTCTTCTTCCGCCCTCATAACGCTCCCAGGCCTCTCTCTCACACACAGCCCCACCCTGCACACATACACTTCCTGCCTTTGTCATGGCTGGAGTCCACACACGCACAAAGACAGCAATCACACAGAACCGCACTGAATTAATTGATAAAAATTCCCCCTTTTTTATCACAACACAGGAATTCACATGATTGTTCTGTTGCTTTAAGTAGCTCTCTAGTATCCTGTAGGGTAGCGCTCTAGTCTCCTCCTGTAGAGTTGTTTTGATGGCGAGCCTATGCATGCCAGAGTCTAAATCTTGATCCCAAACACAGCTGGATGCGTTCATAAATACTTCATTTTGACACTTTCAGCAGAGGTGGAGATAGTCCAAGCAGGTGGTGTGTTTGAGGTATCCATTAGGGCTAACTAGACTTGTGATTCTGCCGCAAGAGAAGCTTTCACCATATCAACTATGACTTGATGGTCAAAACAAAACAGTACCTTGCCAAACAAATGTCAAATCAGTGTATTTGTTGCCTACACAGATTTGCAGGTGTTAAGACAGGTTCAGTAAAATGCTTATGTTACTAGCTCCAACCGTGCATTAGGATGAACAATGTGGAGAATACAGTATATAAAGTGCATTGGGAAAGTATTCAGACCCCTTCACTTTTTCCACATTTTGTTACGTTATAGCCTTATTCTAAAATTGATTAAATCGTTTTTTTCCCCTCATCAATCTACACACAATGCCCCATAATGACAAAGCAAAAACAGGTTTTTAGAAATGTTAGCAAATTTGTTAAATATAAAAAACATGACATTTACATAAGTATTCAGACCCTTTACTCAATACTTTGTTGAAGCACCTTTGGCAGCGATTACAGCCTCGAGTCTTCTTGGGTATGATGCTACAAGCTTGGCACACCTGTTTTTGGGGAGTTTTTCCCCATTCTTCTCTGCAGATCCTCTCAAGCTCTGTCATGTTGGATGGGGAGCGTCGCTGCACATCTAGTTTCAGGTCTTTCCAAAGATGTTCAAGTCCGGCCTCTGGCTGGGCCACTCAAGGACATTCAGAGACTTGTCCCGAAGCCACTCCTGCGTTGTCTTGGCTGTGTGCTTAGGGTCGTTGTCCTGTTGGAAGGTGAACCTTTGCCCCAGTCTGAGGTCCTGAGCGCTCTGGAGCATTTTTACATCAAGGATCTCGCTGTACTTTGCTCCGTTCATCTTTTCCTCGATCTTGACTAGTCGCCCAGTCCCTGCCGCTGAAAAACATCCCCACAGCAGGATGCTGCCACCACCATGCTTCACCGTAGGGATGGTGCCGGGTTTCCTCCAGATGTGACGCTTGGCATTCAGGCCAAAGAGTTCAATCTTGGTTTCATCAGACCAGAGAATCTTGTTCCTCATGTTCTGAGAGTACTTTAGGTGCCTTTTGGCAAACTCCAAGCGGGCTTTCATGTGCCTTTTACTGAGGAGTGGCTTCCGTCTGGCCACTATACCATAAAGGCCTGATTGGTGGAGTGCTGCCGAGATGGTTGTCCTTCTGGAAGGTTCTCCCATCTCCAGAGGAGCTCTGGAGCTCTGTCAGAGTGCCCATCGGATTCTTGGTCACGTCCCTGACCAAGGCCCTTCTCCCCGATTGCTCAGTTTGGCCAGGCGGTCAGCTCTAGGAAGAGTCTTGGTGGTTCCAAACTTCTTCCATTTAAGAATGATGGAGGCCACTGTGTTCTTGGACCTTCAATGCTGCATAATTTTTTTTGGTACCCATCCCAGATCTGTGCTTCGACACAATCCTGTCTCGGAGCTCTACGGACAATTCCTTCGTCCTTATGGGCTGGTTTTTGCTCTGACATACACTGTCAACTATGGGACCTTATCTAGACAGGTGTGTGCCTTTCCAAATCATGTCCAATCAATTGAATTTACTAAAGGTAGACTCCAAGTTGTAGAAACATTTTCAATTATGTTCAATGGAAACAGGATGCATCTGAACTCAATTTCGAGTCACATAGCAAAGGGTCTGAATACCTATGTAAATAAGGTATTTTTGTACCTAATTAATTTTTTGCAAGAAAATCTAAACCTGTTTGCTTTGTCATTATGGGGTATTGTGTGTAGATTGCTAGAAAAAAACACATTTAATCAATCAATTTTAGAATAAGGCTGTAACGTAACAAAATGTGGAAAAAGTCAAGGGATCTGAATACTTTCCGAATGCACTGTATATACACAGTGAGTTAACATTATATAAACAGAATGAGGTGACCAGCCTTCAGACTATATACTGTACATGGGGAATTAGTCTCAAGGTGCAGGGCTGAGTACCGGGCAGGTAGCCGGCTAGTGATTGCTGTTCAACAGTCTGATGGCCTGGTGATAGAAGCTGTTTCACTGTCATTAAACCATTACGGGTTGTAGCTACTTCAGTATTTGGAAATGATTGGGCAATTTTTATTTTTAGCGAAGTCAAAAGTTCATACTTCCTTAAATGGTTACTGTGGATTCTCCTTTGGTTGCCATGGTAATGCTCTGATAAATAACTCTATAAGCCAGGCTGGTCACTGCATTAGGCTCTTTCCTTTTTAGGGGAAAAACCTCCTCTGCTGTCCACATTTCGACGGTGACCCTTGGTCTACATAATAAACACTTCCATTTCTGCGCAAATTGAAACAGACTAGGAATGGTGGGAGGGAAACTCCTTTTTAAAACATGTTTTAACCACAAAAACATTTTAGAAATCATTGTGTGTGTGTGTGTGTGTGTTTTGTAGGAAGTGTAACTAATATTTTCTCTGAGATTGTTGTGATTAAATGATAAACTTGTACAATGTGAATTTAGATATTAAACTCAACCTTTACTACAGTATGTGGTTTCTCTTCCACTAACAACACTGCTCCTCTGTGGTTATCCCATAGGTTTATCAGAGAAGAGCAAGGTGCAGACTCCAGCCTTCACAGACGCACTGAGACTGTACCGCCAGGCCCACGGGCACTATGGCACCTGGGAGATGATGTGTGGAGTGCCCTCACAGGTGAGCATGTCACAGCCAATGACACTGTCTGTGTCACATGTGCTGGTCTGATCTGTATGTGTCTCATTGGTGGTGTTACAGGATATATTGAAAGACTACCACTGTTTGGTTATAGTGTACAGACAGACAGACACCATTCTGCTGTCCAACAGCGGGTCAGGGCCAAGTGAGCTCATGCCCAAAGGATTGTGTCACCAGGGCAGGGGCCGTAGTGACATCATCAACTCGCAGCTGGACTATGCATCCCAAATGATACTACCCTATTCCCTATAGTGCATTATGGGCCTTGGTCAAAAGTAGTGCACTATGCAGGGTACAGGATACCATTTGGGATGCATCCCTGTATGAGGAGCCAATATGCTTCCTGTTGCTGTTCTCTCTTGGGTCGCTGTATCATGTTGATGGGTATTTTGCTGACCAGGCCAGGGCTCTGACTGTAGGTCATAAAAACTGTGGCGCGTGCAGAGGGACGCACACAGATTCTGGTGAATAAGACTAAGAATGTTGTATCACTATGGAAATATGGCTATTGGGTCTCATACAAATACTTTTGGACAGCTGAAGCAAGCACACTATTTTTCTTCAAGGAAATGACCCTTTGTAGTTTTTGTCATCTGAAACACACTGATCCACCTCTGTATGTGTTGTGTATCCCTCCTGTAGATTCTGGCCAACCTGGTGATGGAGACTCTTCTTCCTGAGCTCAGGGATCTGATCTCCCCTCGACTGAAAGGCAAAATGCACGACAGGCAGAGGAACTGGATGCTGGTAAGTCCCGTCTCTCACCCAACAGACCAAGTACACCTTTATAAATTATACTAAGAAAGTATAGCTTGGGAAAATCTTACCCCTTAGCTCCTGTGTTTCCTGTTCTGACATGAATCTCTGTGTTCCCCTGCGCTGTACGGCACGATGGGTGCCCTCTCCTCCAACATCTCCAACCTGTTTGTGTGTCTTTCAGAAGGGTTGGGATCAAGGCAGGAGATGAATTTCCATTGACTGCAAAGAAAATGGATCAATAAAGTATTGTTCTGTGCCCCCATGCAGGTCTGCGATGCGGTGTATGGTCTGGTGGTGAGGCAGTCCCAGGCCCAGTACGAGGCCGTGGTGCAGAGCTGTGAGGCCCAACGCCCCCCTCTAGAGGCCTCCATACGCACAGACATGGACCAGATCATCACCTCCAAGGAGCACGTCACCAACAAAATCAAAGGTGAGCCCTCCGTGATATGAGCAGTTAGTGCTGTGGACAACGCTCCTACCTTTCCCCTTTTCACTGTCCTATCTTTATCAAAATAAATATCACCCAAATATATTTTAGAAAAGGATGAGCCCTCCACATTTGTATGAAGTTGACCCTAGTCCTAGAAACTGACCCAAGGTCGGTTCTGCCTTCCACCTTGTGTACAATCATTCCTGCTCAATAACAAAAGATACAGTTACATAGTAATTTATAATACAGGAATTTTCTTTTTATGCTACTCACAACGCCACCCCCACCCAACTTCCTATCCACCTTCTCAGCCACAACCCCACCCTCCCACCCAGACATCTCTTCGCTATGGCTGGGAGAAGAGCACACAGCATTGTGCAAAGAAGTCATAAACATTAATAATAATACAAATAAAAGGAGAAATACAATTATATGCATACTGAAATACAATGAAATAAGTCATGGACTAAGGGGAGTAAGCTCATCCTATATCTCTGCCCAATAAGGGCACCTTGGGACACTAACCGGTCAATTCCAGTAGCTGCAGTGCATAGTGGATTATAGTCCCTCCATGTCTGGCCTGCATGTCATTCTGGGTCCTGTTTACCAGTGAGTCGACAGGTATTTACCAATAGTCTGACAGATGAATTTCACAGCCACATAGGGCTCTATTCAATCCGTAACTGGGAAGTTCGGTGTTACAGCGTGATTGAAATTTAAAGGCAACGTTCTCACATTAGCGGAGACTGCATTCACTTTAAACGCTGCATATGTCGGCTCAATCGGAAATGACCTTTTACATTTCTAGCGTGCAATCTGTATACAATCTGTATATCAGCGATACAGATTGAATAGAGCCCCCTTAGACAGTTTAGTGTTGTGTGACCGCCTGTGTCCATCGAGTGGAACGCAGGAAGGCTAGCAGCATTCCATCAACAGTTATGAGGGTAACTTAGCCTTAAAATGACTCACCTCTGTCGCTATGACAGTCTGACAGACAGAAAGCTGCTGTCAGGGAGATGGCTCTGTGGTCATGGACAGGAGCTGAATTCCTTTGGCCGACATGTGTAACACTCTCAGTAGGACTTCTGCCAGTTTTCTAAAGTTATCTAGACAATTCTTTGACATTCTCGCTCTACTCTGTGACCCCCCCCACAGCGGTGGTGCTGCCCAAGGCAGAGAAGCTGCTAAAGGTGAGTATCCAGCCCTACATCAGCTCTATCCTGGAGGCCCTGATGGAGCCCACCAGCCGAGGCTTCTCTCAGGTCAGAGACGTCTTCTTCAGAGAGCTGGTGGACATGAGCAAGAACACGCTGAACGACGGCACCAAGGAGAAAGTGGGAGAGGTGAGAGGGCTCAGCTTCTAATTGTGACCATAAGCCTAATGAAACTGCATCTCAGTTTAGCGGCTTACAACTGTAGGTTTCCATAGAACAATGTAGTGATTTTATATTTGAATTGTATTTGGGATACAGACACGTGTGAAATGAATGACTAGTTGTATCATTCTACCCTTTGATATATTGTGTTTGTTCTGTAGGGACTAAAGTGAGTACAGTAGGTCACTGCCCAGTCTCACTCCTCTCTCTCCCCATCCTCAGCACATGGAGAAGATCTCAATGCTGGCGTTCCACCCAGTGAAGATGCAGAGCTGCTATGAGAAAGTAGAGGACTTGAGTCTGGACGGCCTGCAGCAGAGGTTCGATGTCTCCAGCCCCTGTGTGTTTGTCCAGAGAGCACAGATCCTCATGAGAGAGGTAAAACTACACTACATTGCACCTTCCTACACATTATTAAGCCTTGTCCGAGTCAGAATGGCCCATGTGGTAGTAGCCGAGCTCATGTTTCTGTAACGTGGAGCAGCTTGATGTACAAGTACACCCCCTGGACAGGATGCTAGTCTGTCGCCCTACATCTTATTACATGCTGCAAAACGTGACACAACGTCTTAACTGCTGATTTAATAGTTTTTCACTGAGCTGATACACTGTAGGGGTAGTTAATAGAGCTATCACACATGCAGTATTCTACAACTAGTCCTCACAGAGTATGGTACTGATTCAGTAAGTGCTAAAATGTCTCCATTTGCGTTCCTGCTGGTGTGTGAGTGCTGGAAGGATGCAGTCTGCAGGTCTCTGTTGTGGTGGGTGGTTATGCTGTTTTGTTTGAGGTCCTCAGAGCTATAGGGAGTTCTTTATTGTGGTTAGAGAACAATCACATTCTGGTCAGCGAGTGGTGGGGCTATGGTTAGCTGTCATTGGCTGGCTGTTCTCTGTTGACAGGCTGTAGGTTTAGGGAGAGTGATCCTAGAGCCAAGTATTCAGCACCCAGCGTGTCCCCCATTGTGAAACACGAAGGCTGTCGTCTTTGTAGCGGCCATATGCTGCTGGGAGTCAGAATTCTCAGACTGGGGCTAAGGTCGTTTGTAACTTTGCTTTGCGTCCAAGATTCTGTTTATAATTCAGATATACAATAGCTAAAATCTTCCATCAGTGTTTGGAGCATGCTTTGTGTAGAATGAAAGGAGGGGTTGTATTGGACAGTATTCCACTAGTAAACAGTAGAAACATATTATATTCTGTAACGCTACACTTACACAGGAATTGTTGGGAAGATGGTGCCCTCTTGTGGTGAATATATGAAACATTATGGAATTTTTCTTCTTGGCTAGACTTTTGGAAATCCAGTAAGTATCTCTTGTGTGAATGTTGCTGTTATGTTTACTATATATCTTTGAATATCTTATCCAACTTGCCACAAAGCTATTCCCTATTCTATTCTAAACAAATGTTTGTCTGTGCAGCAAATGGACGATGCGGTGTACACGTTTGAGCAGATCCTCCACCAGAGTCTGGAGGACCAGGAGCCAGAGGGGCTCTGTAAGAACATCCAACGCTGCCAGGACCGGGTCATCAAGGTCAGACACAGGAGAGGGTTGCCCCTGCTACCTGCCATGGCACAGGGATGGGTAGAGGAAGGGTGGGGGAAATAGGATGGAAAATCATACTATAGGAAAACCAAGAAGAGGGGATTTAGTTGCTTGTTTAATGTCGACGTTTTAGCTCTGAGGCCTTTCTCAAGACCTCAAATCCAGTGAAGCCCTATATACTCTAGTGGTGATACCCTTTATTTAACCTCTCCTGTCTTTCGTTTCCCTAATTTCTGTCCCCCTCTCTTCTCAGAAATTTGACTATGACAGCAGCACAGTCCGGAAGAGGTTCTTCAGAGAGGCTCTTCTTCAGATCTTCATCCCTTACATGCTGAAGCAGCTCTCTCCCTCCGTATCCTCTGTAAGTCTAGCAGCTCTCTCCCTCCGTATCCTCTGTAAGTCTAGCAGCTCTCTCCCTCCGTATCCTCTGTAAGTCTAGCAGCTCTCTCCCTCCGTATCCTCTGTAAGTCTAGCAGCTCTCTCCCTCCGTATCCTCTGTAAGTCTAGCAGCTCTCTCCCTCCGTATCCTCTGTAAGTCTAGCAGCTCTCTCCCTCCATATCCTCTAAGTCTAGCAGCTCTCTCCCTCCGTATCCTCTGTAAGTCTAGCAGCTCTCTCCCTCCGTATCCTCTGTAAGTCTAGCAGCTCTCTCCCTCCGTATCCTCTGTAAGTCTAGCAGCTCTCTCCCTCCGTATCCTCTGTAAGTCTAGCAGCTATCTGCCGGTTGTTGGAACACTTAGCATTCTCACACTTTCAAACTAGACAGTGTGGCTAGACCGTGACACTGTTGGGTCAAATTAATACATTATGGGTGTGTTCGTAAATTCACTCTGGAGTGCCAGAGTGCGCTCAGGGTGCGCTCTGGGCGTTCGTAAATTCAGAGTGTTGTCAGATTGTTTGTTAGTAAATTCGGAGCGTTCAGAGCGCACACTGGACGCTCTGGCCGAGGAGTAGGGTTGATCCGAGCGTTCTGACCTCACAACGGCAGTCAAGCACCCAAGCTAACTGGCTAAAGTTTGCTAGCTTGCTAGCTACTTCCAAACACAAATGAGAGAACACCTCACGCTGACCATTTTACTCGCCCTAGCAGAGCTGGTTATCTAGAGCGTTGGTAACTGCTGTTGGCAACAATTTCATTTTTCTTTTTTTACTGACACCGGTCATATTCAACGGGTGCTGCGTGTTCGTAAATTCATCAGTTATTCTGTGCTCTGGCACGCTCAGGAGAGAGTGCTCTGAAATCAGAGTAGATAGCCAGAGTGAATTTACGAACACACCCTATGTACTGTATGAAACTGACATTACACTTCCATGCAATGGCATTCTCTTTGTCACTCATAGTGTTAACTTATTCTTTCTTTGCATGTCTCTCCTGAGTGTATGATTCCTTTATGGGTTCTCAGTTCTCATACTTTTTCCTCTGGTGGCCAGGAGCTGCCTCGTTTCCAGGAGCTGATCTTCGAGGATTTTTCCCGTTTCATCCTGGTGGAGAACATCTTTGAGGAGGTGGTGCTGCACTCTGTCATGAAGGACATCATGATGGGTGAGTCTCACAGCTGAAACAGTGGCTGTATCTTTAATGGCACGTTATTCCCTTTGTAGTGCATTACTATGGGCCCTGGTCAATAGTTATACTCCCGAGTGGCACACTAGAGATCCTGGTTCGAATCCAGGCTCTGTCGTAGCCGGCCGCGACAAGGGAGACCCATGGGGCGGCGCACAATTGGCCCAGGGTAGGGGAGGGAATGGCCGGCAGGGATGTAGCTCAGTTGGTAGAGCATGGCGTTTGCAACGCCAGGGTTGTGGGTTTCGATTCCCACGGGGGGCCAGTATGAAAAAATAAAATAAAAAATAATAATGTATGCACTCACTAACTGTAAGTCGCTCTGGATAAGAGCGTCTGCTAAATGACTAAAATGTAAATGGTCAATAGTAGGAAAAGGGTGCCATTTGGGACTCCGACATATCCTTCTTATTAAACACAAAAACTGTTTTAAGTGAGAAGCAGTGCCTACTCCACCCATGCTCTACCAAGGTTTTCAAGCACACAGCTTTGGCCTACTACAGTAGCTATGTTGGTCTATTGTACTTCAAACTATGTATAGGCAGGATTAGGAATCAAATATTCTCAAACAGCTTAATTCATACTCTTAGAGGAGTTGCTCCCACAATAATGTGATTTGTACGGCATACTAGGCAATGTATTGTATTCTTCCCACCCCACACTGACCTTATCCCATTCCACTACCTTTTCAAGCTTAATTTTTTGTATTATATGAAAGTAAGCTTTGCTTTTATACTTACAAGACCATTAGGCTTGATCGAGTGAGCTTTTTTTTTCTTATCGTATGTGGTGCCTGCCTGTAATTATTTAAACCTTTATTTTAGCAATTACACTACCGGTCAAAGGTTTTAGAACACATATTCATTCAAGGGTTTTTCTTTATTTTTACTATTTTCTACATTGTAGAATAATAGTGAAGACATCAAAACTATGAAATAACACATATGGAATCATGTAGTACCCAAAACAGTGTTAAACAAATCAAAATATATTTTATATTTGAGATTCTTCAAATAGCCACCCTTTGCCTTGATGACAGCTTTGCACACTCTTGGCATTCTCTCAACCAGCTTCACCTGGAATGCTTTTCCAACAGTCTTGAAGGAGTTCCCACATATGCTGAGCACTTGTTGGCTGCTTTACCTTCACTCTGCGGTCCGACTCATCCCAAACCATCTCAATTTGGTTGAGGTCGGGGGATTGTGGAGGCCACGTCATCAGATGCAGCACTCCATCAATCTCCTTCTTGGTAAAATAGCCCTTACACAGCCTGGAGGTGTGCTGGGTCATTGTCCTGTTGAAACACAAGTGATAGTCCCACTAAGCCCAAACCAGATGGGATGGCGTATCGCTGCAGAATGCTGTGGTAGCCATGCTGGTTAAGTGTGCCTTGAATTCTAAATAAATCACAGACAGTGTCACCAGCAAAGCACCCCCCCCCCCCCCCCCCCACACCATAACACCTCCTCCATGCTTTACGGTGGGAAATACACATGCAGAGATCATCCGTTCACCCACACTGCGTCTCACAATGACACTGCGGTTGGAACCAAAAATCACTAATTTGGACTCCAGACCAAAGGACACATTTCCACCGGTCTAATGTCCATTGCTCGTGTTTCTTGGCCCACACAAGTCTCTTCCTCTTATTGGTGTCCTTTAGTAGGGGTTTCTTTGCAGCAATTTGACCATGAAGGCCTGATTCACACAGTCTCCTCTGAACAGTTGTTGATGTGTCTGTTACTTGAGCTCTGTAAAGCATTTATTTGGGCTGCAATTTCTGAGGCTGGTAACCCTAATGAACTTATCTTCTGCTGCAGAGGTAACTCTGGGTCTTCCATTCCTGTGGCGGTCCTCATGAGAGCCAGTTTCATTATAGCGCTTGATGGTTTTTGTGACTGCACTTGAAGAAACTTTCAAAGTTCTTGAAATATTCCATATTGACTGACCTTCATGTCTTAAAGTAATGATGGACTGTTACAGTCACTCATAGATATCAAATCAATATTTATTGGTCGGGTACACAGATTTGCAGGTGCAAAATGCTTATGTTACTAGCTCCAACAGTGCAGTACAACAGGTGTTCCCAAACTTTTTCACTCCGGCCCCCCTTTCCGCATTGGGGAACATCCCGCGCCACGTCTGGTTCTATGGGCACAAGCACTGTTCACACCCCTCTTATTGGCGTGGAGAACATTTTGCAGGTTTAAAGCATATTTCCTGCAATGCTACACATTTTGTCATGGGGTGCAGAGAAAATGTTGCAGTTTTAAAGCAAATTTTCTTGCAATTCTGTACATTTTGCATGTCTGTGTTCATGTGATATTTGAGTGACTCAAACATTACTACAAAATCTATGGGCTTAGAAACCTAGCTAAAATATTTCTGTTGACATGGGCTAGTTGATCTGGACATTTATGACAACTTATACATAATAGCTCTGTAAGGTATGCAAAGACTGACAGGACAAGAGAAACTGATGATGCACTACCCAATTTCGAAATTGCACCTTGCACCCACTATTACAACTTTCAAGAGTAAGTTGAAAGCAGGACTGAGTTCCTTAGTGTTTCACACTACATTGAAAGACATTTACAATAAGACTATCTAAAAACACTTACAGCCTAATTATATAATACATACTTTTAAAAGCAGGAGACTGATGTTCATTATCCCTCTGAAGAGTATGAATTTGTCTTTTTGAGAAGGTTTGAATCCTAAGCAACCTTCCTATGCATTGTTTTGAAGTACAATATACCAACATAGCTACTGTAGTAGGCCAAAGCTGTGTGCTTGAAGACTTTGGTAGAGCTTTACATTTTAGTCATTTAGCAGACGCTCTTATCCAGAGCGACTTACAGTTAGTGAGTGCATACATTTTCATACTGGGTGAAGTAGGCATTGTGGTGCTCGTGAATTACCTTTTTCGGCTTAAGACCAATGCCTACTTCTCACTTAAAATATAGTTTTTTACTTATAAGTGATTCACGATATATAGATGGACACCACACACTGCATTCGGAAAGTATTCAGACCCCTCGACTTTTTCCACATTTTGTTACGTTTACGTTAAATTCTGTGTTTTTTCCTCATCAATCTACACACAATACCCCATAATGACAAAGCAAAACTTTTTTTTTTTTTTGTGCAAATTTATAAAAAATTAAAAACTGCTATAACATTTACATAAGTATTTACTCAGTACTTTGTTGAAGCACCTTTGGCAGTGATTACAGCATCGAGTATTCTTGGGTATGACGCTACAAGCTTGGCACACATGTATTTGGAGAGTTTCTCCCATTCTTCGCTGCAGATCCTCTCAAGCACTGTCAGGTTAGATGGGGAGAGTCGCTGCACATCTATTTTCAGGTCTCTCCAGAGATGTTAGATCGGGTTAAAGTCCGGCCTCTGGCTGGGCCACTCAAGGACATTGAGACTTGTCCCGAAGCCACTCCTGCGTTGTCTTGGCTGTGTGCTTAGGGTGGTTGTCCTGTCGGAAGGTGAATCTTCGCCCCAGTCTGAGGTCCTGAGTGCTCTGGAGCAGGATTTCATCAAGGATCTCTCTGTACTTTGCTCCGTTCATCTTTCCCTCAATCCTGAGGAGTCTCCCAGTCCCTGCTGCTGAAAAACATCCCCTCAGCATGATGCCAGGGATGGTGCAAGGTTTCCTCCAGACGTGACGCATAGCATTTAGGCCAAAGAGTTCAATTTTGGTTTCATCAGACCAGATAATCTTGTTTCTCATGGTCTGAGAGTCTTTAGGTGCCTTTTGGCGAACTCCAAGTGGGCTGTCATATGCCTTTTACTGAGGAGTGGCTCCCGTCTGGCCACTATACCATAAAGGCCTGATTGGTGGAGTGCTGCAGAGATGGTTGTACTTCTGGAAGGTTCTCCCATCTCAGTAGAGGAACTCTGGAGCTCTGTCAGTGACCATCGGGTTCTTGGTCACATCCCTGACCAAGGCCCTTCTCCCACGATTGCTCAGTTTGGCTGGGCGGCCAGCTCTAGGAAGAGTCTTGGTGGTTCCAAACTTCTTCCATTTAAGAATGATGGAGGCCGCTGTGTTCTTGGAGACCTTCAATGCTGCAGAAATGTTTTGGTTCCTTTCCCCAGATCTGTGCCTCGACACAATCCTGTCTCAGAGCTCTACGGACAATTCCTTCGACCTCGTGGCTTGGTTTTTGCTCTGACATGTACTGTCAACTGTGGGACCTTTTATATAGACAGGTATGTGCCTTTCCAAATCATGTCCAATCAATTGAATTTGCCACAGGTGGACTCCAATGAAGCTGTAGAATGGACACAGGATGCACCTGAGCTCAATTTTGAGTCTCATCAAAGGGTCTGAATACTTATGTTAGTTTTTTTTTTTTTTTTTTTGTGCAACAATTTCTAAACCTGTTTTCGCTTTGTCATTATGGGGTATTGTTTAGATTGAGAAATGTTTTATTTAATACATTTTAGAATAAGGCTGTAAGGTAACAAAATGTGGAAAATGTCAAGGTATTTGAATACTTTCTGAAGTATGTATGTATGTATGTATGTATGTATGTATAAATTAGCTTTGTAGTACAATTGAAAGTTCAAATACACAGCATTTCAAACAGTCCGCAATAACTGGATGAATTCAGGGAACGTGAAATTAGGCTAAATATAAGCCCCACTAATAATGTAATTATTTTATCATAGTTTTACCTGCTTTTTTTTTTGCAATATCCACTGGTCTGGCTTTCTAGTCTATGAAAATTCACTTTTTGTGAAATTTAACCAGAACCATGCGTAATGCACACTCACTTATATAATGACTAACTTCATGTAGCCGGCATTATAGAAAATTAACACCGGTCTCACAAACAATCTCTCAAGCACAAGCCGACTTGCTAGTGAGTAGCCAGATAATCTTTATATTTGAAGTTTAGTCAACTTGGATCTATTTGCTAGCTAACACGGCAGAACAGTTTAATTGTTATGAACACACCCTTCTGTCCGTCTCCAACTGTTTGAATGGCATGCTAGCCTGTCCACTTTGTTCAGATGTTGAAATCAAGTGGCCTAGTTTATTTCTCAGATTGAAAAGGAGTTGCCAATTCCTTATAATTGTGTTTTATGCTTATTGCACATTTATAAAACAGACTAGACAGCTAGTATAATAGTCTTTGGCTAAAATGCTGCTAGCAGTACCGCAATGCCCCGCATGACAAACTGAGCGTTACTTTCATTGATACTCCTGTTTTAGTAGTGTCTGCGCTTTGCGCAATTTGAGAAGTTGAGACATAAAAAGGTTAACTTCTCCTTTACAGTAAAATGTCGCTGTATTTCAGTTTCCATATGACTGATTCTGTTGGACCAAACCTCAAATGCAAATAGCGAGTTGAAACCGCTTGTCAGAGAGGAAGAAGTCATCTCTAAACTTTGTTGCTGTGAGTGACAGGGCGAGGTGTGTGTGTGTGTGTGTGTGTGTGTGTGTGTGTGTGTGTAAACAGAGAGGAAGAGGCGACGCAAAAGGTTTCACTCTCGCCAAAATCTGTCCAAAATAAGTCCAATGCGTTTCTATGGGCTTCTTTTAGACCTAAGCTTGTCGTCTGCCTTCCCACCTTTTGAGACGACTCCCATTGTTAGGGCGGAGAAATTAGCATATTGTCGTCATATTCAGATCTGGTGTAAATGGGAAGGTGCACAGAAGGAGTGAAGGAGATGAGACCAAAAAGACAGCATGAGAACAAGCAAACATAAACGCTCAGAAAAACGGAAAATACAAAAAACCTTGACTCTTGCTATACAGGCATTTGGAATATTGCCCCAAAACAAATGTTATTAATCAAATGAATTTGATATCCCCTGACGCGCTCAATAGAGAAATGGTCAGATGAAGCAGAGGCTAGGCTACAAGACTGCTTTGCTAGCAAGGACTGAAATATGACTTCGCCAGTAGCATTGACAAGTTTACGACCTCAGTCACCGGCTTCATAAGAAAGTGCATCGACAACATTTAAAGTTCGCTGCTTTCCTAACCAAAAGCCCCAGATTAACACTGAGATACGCTCCAAGCTAACGGACAGAGACACCGCACATCGGGCTATACCAGCTAACCCTGAGGCTAGGGTCATGGCAACGAATGCGTACAAGCAGTCCCGCTACGCCCTCCACAGATTCATCAAACATGTGAAGGAACAATGCAAGAATAAGGAAATAAATTCTACTATACCGGTTCTAACACATGTCAAGGACTACAGTCTATTATGGATTATAAAAGAGGACCCAGCCCTGAACTGTCCAACGATGCCGCTCTACCAGACGAACTGAATGCTTTTTATGCAGGCTTTGCCAGAAACAACACAGAGCCTAGCAAGAGGGCCCCCACTGTCCTCGAGGACCGGGTGATCTCGCCCTCCGAGGCTGACATGAGACTTTTAAACGGATCAACAATTCTAAGGCCAGACTGTATTTCAGGGCGCGACCTCGTGGCATGCACAGACCAGCTGGCTGGCGTCTTCACTTCATTTTCAGCCTCTCCCTGTCTAATCCCCACATGTTTCAAGCTGACTACCATCATTCCTGTTCCCAAAAACTCGAAGGCAACCGGGCCAACCCCAGGTGGTGAGGGTAGACAACAGTGTCTGTTGGAGACAGACTGGTCGAGTGGCGAATGAAGTCATCCCCTCTTCTCCATAAAGGGAGCCACTCGCCTGCCAACTGGTCATTCTCAATAAGCTTTCCTCAGCTGGACTAGATTCCTGTTTTCCTACTGCACTGTTCTCATTAGACGCATGAGGTTAACTCTGCCAAATGTGGGACTTCAGCGCCTGTTGAGTACCGACCGTAAGATTTTCGCTTGGAATAGAATAAATGATTTACTTGTCAGTCTCTGTTTAGCTAGACCCACACCGCTAGCTATCGAGCTTTAGTTATCTATTTCTGCAAGGCTACAGCTAACTTGGCTAACTAGCTGCTAGGCTAGCTAGCCACTCAAACGGCTAGCTCTCGCCACAAGGCTTAAGCTAACCCGTGTAAACTCACCACAACACTTTCTCAGAGCCATGGCGCCTGCTGCCCCTGCACAGGGAAAACCTAGCAGGCCTCCAGCCCCAGAACCGGCACACCCGTGCCCGTGTGGGGCTATGATAGCAGGCAAAGATATGCACCCAATGTGTATCGCCTGCTTGGGTTTTGAGCACTCTGCGGCATCACTCGCTAGTTCTTTGTGCACTATGGGGCTCTCCCTGCAAACTCCCTTCACCGGCGAGTGTGCAGAGCTAACCCCAAACAAGACTCATCGCCGTCACCCCATTCTGGAACTACGGATCGTCAACAGCTTTCTGAGAACGTTAACGTTTCGTATGCTTACGCTTAACGTGCTGTCTCACACTATTCGTCAAGGCGACTGGTTCACTTCACTGCAGCACACAGGTTTCCTTTCAAGGCACAGCCTACGAATATCTTACCTGTTTGGGCTAGCACCGGCTCCCCGTCTGTTCAGCAAGTATGTAGAGGTGGCTCTAGCACCCCTCGGGGCTGAGAGTCTCCGCCTACATAGATGATTACTTGCTTTGCTCCCCCACACGGGGGCAAGTGGTGCGAGACATCTTTCCTTGTAACCCACCTCAGCGAGTTAGGGTTAAAGATAAATCAGAAAAAGAGCTGTCTGGTGCCAACACAGAGAATAGAAAACCTAGGCATCGAGCTAGATTCTCTCATCGTGCTATACAATCAGACGGCCGAATAACAGACCTGTTCGTAACCAGTGGCTATGGATGAAATGTATAAAAGTATCTGTACAAAACATGAAAAACATACAAAAATATATATTTTGAAACATCACATTTTGACTAAATGTGTGAACATTTTAAAATGTATGCTTATTTTTGAGAATTTAAACTGTTTACTTGTTATAAAAGGTTAATAAAATAAATACACTATGTGGTTCTTGGTAACGGACGAACGGATCATGACGAGAGGCGGAGAGAGTGTGTTGTGTACCTCCAATCAAGTTGATTTGCGAAGTTTCATCGATATTGGTGTCCTATTGGCTTAGATGTGATGATGGGAAGATTTGAATTTAACATTGAGCATCAACCAATCCCATACTTATAGTCACGACTATAATATTTGAATGCGTTATTTATTCAGTGCATGGAAGAGAGTACTCGTGCTTGTAGATGGGCTCAGAGTTCTTCCTCACCAAGTGACCTCAGTAGGAAAAACTCCAGGCCGTGTTAAGTGATACTGCTCCTGTGGTCTGTGTACAATGTCTTAATGACCCGCCCCCTCTTTCTTTTTATTCTTCCCTCTTACTGTAGCTGTCAAGGAGGCAGCAGTCCAGAGAAGACACAACCTTTACAGAGACAGCATAGTGCTGACCAGCAGTGATCCCAACCTGCACCTGCTGGGGGATAACCCTGCCATCGACTGGGCTGGGGAGTACGGGACAGGACCGGAGGAGGGACCGGAGGCGGTGGACGGGGAGGAGACTGGGGACAGCACAGGAGGGGCGGCCCAGAGGAGGCGCAGGATGAAGCAGGTGGTCTCTATAATACAGCTGGACGGCTCTCCCATCCTGGCCAACGAGTCCTGCCTGGACGTCCCCGGGGTGGACAGCATCCCTGAGGAGACGGCGGGAGAGGACCAGGACACAGATGCCCCGTCATCTCCAGAGAGTGTCCACCAGGAACCAGTCAAAGTTAATGGAACCGGTCAAAAAGGAAAGCGAAAGGCTCCTCCTCCTCCAGTCCAGCCAGAGAACATTCCATCCCCTGCCCTAACGAATGGCTCCGACGTAAAAGGAGAGCCGGCGGCCATCTTGAGTAAGGCCCCAGAGGTACAGACCAAAATCTCAGAAGATGTCCCCAAGGAAGCTGAGAGTGAGATGAAGTCCCCAGAGACGAAGAGCTTCTTACAGGATACTGAGAGCACAGCGTCAGCCATCGAGAGTGCCATACAGGAGATTGAGAATGCAGTGCAGGGAGAGGACAGCGAGCCAGCCGTGGAGGCGGATACACTGGAGGCAGTGGCAGAAGTTTCACCCTCAAGCCAGAAGGATAGTGGACCCTTAAGCAAAGAGGAAGAGGAGGAATCTTTAAAACCAATTCAGCAGGAGGCACTGGCACCAACAGCTTTTAGCCAAGAGGAAAGCACTCCTTCCAGTTTAGAGGAGGTATCTCCCTCCACTCAGACTGAGGTAGCAGCAACACCTATAGCACAAGAGGAGATCCCCACACCAACAGCCCTGGACAGCAAGCAAGTCCCTGCAGCCATACCAACAGAAATGCCTGCAGCCATACCAACAGCCCTGGAGACGAAGCAAGTCCCTGTCCCAGGATCAATGCCAGAGAGCACTGGGAGCACTTCAGAAGTCAGTCCAGAGTTGGAACAGGCCACAGTGCCACATGATGACCGTGGCTTCCACTCTCTCACCAGTGAGGCGGTGAAGAAGGTGGAGGAGGATGCTGCCCCCAGTACAGAGGGGCCAGAGGCAGTAGAGTTGGTCCCTGAGGCAGGAGCAGAGGGTGAGGGAGTGACTTTGGTCCAGGAGGGAGCAGCAGAGAGGGTGATTGGCCCAGGAGGGAGCAGCAGCACAGAACAATAACTCTGAGACCGGAAAGGAGGAGAAGGAGTCTGGGAAGGCAGAGGGAGTCCGTGAGGAATGAGTCCTCGCTTAGGCTGTATGCTGGCGTTAATTTTGATTTTGATGTTTGTTTTTTACCAAGACAGGCATATTATACTACATAAACCTAATCTCACAAAAGCATAGACAATTTAATAAATGGAAATGGTTTGTACACAGTAGTTTTGCCATTAGATCAACTGCTTGGTTTTGGTTTTCACCTTATAACAGTTCTAATAACACTTTCTGTACCAATATTATCCACCAATACCAAATCAGTCTGTACCTTAAGTGGGGCTCAAGTGCAACTTCATTGTCTCTATTGTTTTTGTGTTTCTATATTTTGACAGATATTCCAACTGATAAAGAATGTGCATTCCATTCAACCCACATTCCAATTGATAGCATGTATATTGTAGCCCGAGTGCCAGATGTGTTTGTGCGCTCATGCCAACTCCTTGTCATGCCAAAAATGGCTTAATAATGAATGGAATTGGCAAGAGCACAAACAGATCTGGGACCAGGCTGTGTGTGTATTGCATTCCATCCACACAAGGGGGAAGTCATTCCATGACCCTTTTTTACTATATATTCACAGCGTAGTGAATGATGAGGACAATTGAAAGACCCAGTTGTCCTCTTATGGTGTTCTGTAAATATGAAACGAAATGGCACACTTCAGGTGCTGTTCTTGGTTGGGTATACACTGAGTATACAAATTATTAAGAACACCTTCCTAATATTGAGTTGCACCCCCCCTTTGCCCTCAGAACAGCCTCAATTCGTCGGGGCATGGACTCTACAAGGTGTCCAAAGCGTTCCACAGGGATGCTGGCCCATGTTGACTCCAAGGCTTTCCAAAGTTGTCAAGTTGGTTTGATGCCCTTTGGGTGGTGAACCATTCTTGATACACACAGGAAACGGTTGAGCATGAAAAACCCATCAGTGTTGCAGTTTTTGACACAAACCGGTGCTCCTGGCACCTACTACCATATCCCGTTCAAAGGCACTGAAATCTTTTGTCTTGCCCATTCACCTTCTGAATGGCACACATACACAATCCATGTCTCAATTGTCTCAAGGCTTAAAAATCTTTCTTTAACCCGTCTCCTCCCCTTCATCTACACTGATTTGAAGTGGATTTAACAAGTGACATCAATAAGGGATCATAGCTTTCACCTGGTCAGTCTGTCATGGAAAGAGCAGGTGTCCTTAATGTTTTGTACACTCAGTGTATAACGTTCAATGGCATCATTGATTTGTTTAAAGTTTGCTTAGTTGGTTACCTACTGTGTTAAGTTGTATTTGGATTGGACCACGGCAAGGTGAGCAAAACTAGAGCTATCCGTGGCTAAATAAAAATCGGAGTATTTATTCAATAGATTCAACGACCAATATGTCCTTGTTATTCTTATTGGTGTTTGTTTGTGTGTCCCACTTCTTTCATACAGTTGCCCTCTGAAGTTTCCTGTCAGTTTAATCTGTCTTATTATCAGAAGATTTCAAATAATTTTGTAATCATGCGTCAGTCTTCAATAATCTTCTTCTGGTGTATTCATTGAGATTATTTGTTGGAAAGGTACCTGGGAATCAAGCAATGTGTGTAAGCAATACTGTGGTAATTGTGCCTTATGGAATACTGGAAAACGTAGAGTTCAAAGTACTTATTTATTTTCTATTTCAAATTGAAATGACAATCCATCAAACATAATGATGTGCAAAAACGTATTTAATGACATGGAAATCAAGGCAAAATACAACATCAAATGAGTAATGCTATTTGATATGTTGTCCTTAATATTTTATCATTTTATTATTGATATGACTGGGAATACCTCAGTTCTAACATTGAATGGTTCCTAACAGAGAGAGCCTCTCTACATACTGTATTAAATACATTGTTGGCCTTTTTCAGCGCCACACAGTCATTTTGTTCCACGTTTATTTTGTACTATACTGTATCTTCAGTGCCTTCATTGATGCACATGATTTTTCCCTATGCTTTTTCTATGTATTATGTATTGGACACTGCATTATGTCCCTGTCCCCAACCCATCCCTTTTGTAAAAGTACACTTATCATTTGTTTTACTCTGTTATACAATAGACTGTTATTGATTTTATAAATAATTATCGATTTAAATGTTTGTAATGGTTTTCCTTTGGAACACACAGGTTTGTTAAAGGGGCAATCTGGGATTTGAAAAACAACAGTGGGCATCCTGACACTTTTGTTGGTTAACAGGTGAGGGATGGGGCTGGAGAAATGTTACCACTCTCAAATTCCAAAATGGATGTGCCAGTCTTAGATTGCCCCCTTTTTTTTTATTTTATGGTTGTTGGGTTCATGTGGAGCAGTATTTAGGCTTGCATTCACATTGACTGTCATATTTCCAAACTACAATTGATCAATTTAAAGGGGCAATCTGATTGCTACATCTATTTTTGGACTTTTAAATTAAATATTATATACCCATTGATTCTTGAAAAATATAACTTATAAATGCTTTATGAGCTTACTTACTGTCGTACCAATCAGAACCCAAAATATAAACTTGTTTTACTTCATTGTTTGTAAGCAATGTAATTGTAAACAAACACTGTATAGCCTCAATGGTTAAAAGTATCAAATTGATATAATTCCTTGCGTCCATAGCCCTGTATATGAATGTGAGATTGGTTACATTTCTCCAGCCCCATCCCTCATCTTTTGACCAAAACAGTGGTGGGGTGTCTGCTTTGTTTGAACTGCAGATTGTTGCCTCTAAGGTGTGCATTTCTCATAGTTCACCAGACATGCATGGACCATTCTGGCTGAAGGGAGACGTGCTGTGCCTTTCATCCTTGCACCTTTCAGTAGAGGGCAATGTAGTAGCCATAGATTCATTGTGGTTTAAAAAAATGTTGTCTTAGGAAATGCCATCTGTAGAGCCTACAGGCCTACTACAAATGTATAGTGTGTGTGTGTGTGTATGTATGTGTATGTGTGTATATATATATATATATATATATATATATATATATATATATATATATATATATATATATAATATAATATAACCCACATTTAAATGGCCATCTTCCACAAACCAAATGAAAGATCCCTCTAAAAACATGAGATAATATTTAAAGAGACCTTGGTTCACAATGTTTTGGATCTCTCTTTCAGCCCTTGTTATGTAACCTTGGTGTCATGTCATATGCACTTGATGTATGAAGCATCAATGTGCCCTAATACAGATTATTTTAATCGTTGGAAAAAATAGCAAAGTGCTATTTATGAACACAATTTCCCTCAGAACCGGGGTGAGGCACTAGAACTGGGTTCCCCAACTGGGGGCCTGTGGGTTAAAAAAATAGTTGGACATAAGACCGTAAAAACACCAGCAAATTAGCTCCAAGTGATTTTAATTTTGGAAATCTGTTCCAAAGTATTCCCACGCATAGAGCAATATGTGATTGTATACAAATCAGTGGCAGTTGGTGACGTTTAAGATGAGGGAGGACAATATATATTTTTCATAAGCATGGCCTTATTTCTATTTTAGCGTATTGAATGACTCATTCATATTCCATTCACCCAGCTCAATGTAACATCGATAGGTTTAGACTACTACATGATGCTAACAATTTCCCTATACCCATCATGAGGTTGCTACAGTTTAGTAATCAAGGTGACCGACGGTGACTCATTCAATACCGCCTTGCACACTCTTGCCTGCATCTAGCTGATCCAGTGTGTAGTCATTAGTCCCAACAGTTGCAAACGAGAGTTTCTATTGAACAAATTCAGTTATGTTTATCTTCGTTTCATTTGCTTAAGTTTAAGAAACATTTCAACAGATTTGGCGTAATGAATAAATCCCTAATCACATGCAAACACAGTTTACTTTCATAGCAGCCACATTCAAACCGCATGAACATTTTGCATGAACACATTATTTTCGCATCTATGCGCTCTCCTCCTCTCACCCTTTCCCTTAGCTGTGTTGTGCACTGAAGTCAACAAGCAGACTGTGGCCGGGTGAAAAACCTGTTCCAAGCCAAACCTTCACATCATAACCGCTACCCATAGCCTACATTGTTGTTGCCATATTAGCTAACAACATTAGTAACGTCATAGTCAACATAGCTACCATTTTTTTTATCGGAGTCATACCGAGACACAAGCCTATTTTACAGATGAGCCCTGAATTACATAAATTACAGAAAATACACATCAAAATATAAACACAAAATGCAAGCAGAAAGAAAGACTGTCATAAAAACACATTCATCAGTAATAAGGTCCTCAATCAGCTAGAACTAATGCGTTAGTAAACCTGCTACAATCATGCAGTACAGTGTACAGTCAGCAAGCAATTTAGCAGTTAATTTATAAAACCAAAAGCTTACATTGACTTGGAAGAGTTCCAGTGTTGGATAGCCAGAGCCAGCTAGCTAACATAGCATCCTTCTCTGTGTTGAGCCTGGTGTTTGAAAAGTGATACAAATACAAGTATAGCACTCTCTCTCTCGCTTCATTTTTAAATAAATGAATTTGTTCAAAACTATTGTCTTTCCCTACGTTTTATGCACAGCAGCACTCTCTAGCTGTATCTTATCAAATCAAATGTTATTTGTCACATACACGTGTTTAGCAGATGTTATAGCGGGTGTAGCGAAATGCTTGTGCTTCTAGCTCGAACAGTGCAGTAATATCTAACAATTTCACAACATATACCCAATACACACAAAACTAGTAAGGAATGGGATTTAATAATATATACATATATGGACAAGCAATGACAGAGCGGCATGGACTAAGATACAGTAGAATATTATAGAATAGAATACAGTATATACAAATGAGATGAGTAGTGCAAGATATGTAAACATTATTAAAGTGACTAGTGTTCCATTTTTTAAAGTGGCTTTCAGTACTAGATTCATTCACTGATCCTTTGATTGGTTGGACAGCATGTAAATTCATGCTGCAAGAGC